TGTCTGAAGGTTTGCGATCGTGGGGGCGACTGCAGCCACAGGGCGAGCTCTACTTTGATAACTTGATAGCTTGTGTTCTGTGGACTTCGCTCTCTAGTGGAAATGTTAACAGCTCGCTGAGGTTTGCACTTAATTGCAAACATTTTTCTGGTTTGCTACCCTGCAACATGATACTAAGTAGATGGCATCTTGGATTTTTATAAATTGAAGACTTTTACTAGAGCATTTTTGCCACTTGCCATGTGTTTAACTAAACTTGAGGTAGATCTCAACTCTATTAGGTAAATATATTGATTTATACAGTTTGCTGAGATTTTATATATACATAAGAAGAGATGAAAAACAAAACTAGATAAGCAAAACTAAATAATTTCTCATAAACTCTAATTTGAAATAGAATATTTAAATATATACGTAAACCTATTTTTAAATAAGAGATTTATAAATATCAAAACATCAATAAATTGTCCATCCAACCTATTTTCAAGAAATAGAGCTTACATAGTTTCCTCGAATTGGTTCAGTCAATAAAGTTAACCTCATGTTATGTTTTTTAATTTTATTACAAAATAAGATAACCATGCTATGATATAGAACGATATAGAAATACAATTATTTAATGTTATACCCATGTTAAAATCATGTCATGTTATGTTATTTTTATCTAATTTCATTAAGTTAACATAACTATGCTACTCATTATCCCAATGTCTGTCAATTAAATGGCATAGAGATTCATGCCAAGTCTCAAAAGTGACCTGAATTGAGTTGTAAAAGTTTGTAGTAAACAAATGAAGAAATTTATGCGATTTATGATAATTACACATGAATAATTTACACGTCTTCGCCTTATTCCAAAGCAATCCATTATAACGTGCACCCAAGTCTCCCAAGTCACTTGGCCTCACCCTTATCTCGTCTTGGCGGCCATAATGAGCTTGTGGACTACGACAGCTGCATTCATTGCCAAAAACTGAACGTTTTATTAACGAAATGCGCTTTGGATTTGGATTTGGTGGCGGCTTTTGCCTTTCTTGTTGGCTGTTCTGTCTGCAGTGGCTTTGATGTCTTTACACTGCGCAAAAATGTTTGGGGCAGGCTGGCAAAAGGCGAAAGGCGAATGGTGAAAGGCGAGCGCGCGCGCGTGCAAAAATAATTTATGGATACCATCAACAACCCTTAGAGCTGGAGCTCGGGATGATAGATGGCGTGCCAGAATGTCTGCCATGGCCTGGCAACCATGGCAGCCAAGCGAAGGCGAAGTCGACGGCAAGTTAACCCAAAACCCAAAAATATGCTGCGGGCGATATATTTCTCGCACTCACTGTCATCACGGCCATGTCGAGAGTGCAAGTGGGAGAGAGAGGGAAGAGAGCGAGGGTGGGGGGAGGTGGCAGAGCGAGACAGTTGCAGTAGAGTAGAGTAGCGTAGAGCAGAGTGCCCAGCACTTTGAAATTGAAATGTCGTTTCGCCTGGCGCTAGAATTTTTCATTGCCAATTTCTTGAAGAGCAGTCGCCAGGGTCTGTCAGAAGCTGCCACTGCTGCCAAGTGCTGCCATATTTCTGCCATATTTCTCGAGAGCCAACACAAATGTCACATCAATCTTGTGACCAGTGTTGCGTAAGCAGCAAGGAAAATATTCATTTTGTTTTGGCTGTCGCCCCTCCCTGCCCTCTCTACGACCAACCCAACCCAACTCAACCAAAAAAAAAAAAAAAAGTAAAATAAATCAAGTTCTGCACCGCGACTGCATGCGTAAATGATTAATGACCCCAGCCAAGTAGCGCGATTTTCAAATGGCGAAAACAGCAAGTATATTAAAATATATACACACAATACATATTTATATGCACTACATGTAGATTCAATACGCATTAAGATATAGTAGATGAACTGCAATTAGGAATTATATAGCATTTTCTAGTTTTATAAAATAAATTAAATTATATTCATTTATATTTTATTAATATCATTGCTAAATTTTACAAATATGTGAGACGAGTCCATCAGAAAGCTATAAATGTAAATTACAATTAAAATAACTAATATTTATCAGTCTCATCTCATCTCCTTCTCATTATATTTTTAACAAGTCGATAGGCTTTGATATTTTCTTTTAATTTTATTCATTATTTTCCTGAATTAAAGTATTGCCATATATAAAATTTGATGGAAATAATATTTGATTTATTTTATTATAAAAAGAAAATTTTAGATATGCCATTTGATGAAAATATTTATTTCAATATTTCGATATTTATTGAAAAATAAAAATATTTGTAAATAAAATATTTCTGGATTTATTGATAATATATTGTATTGTATTGTATAATAATAATAAAATTTGCATGAAAAAAGGTTTTTTGAACATTTCAGAATTTCCTGATTGTAAATAAAAAATAAATTAAAATAAATTACGAAAAAATCATTTTTGATAAAAATATTTGTTTACTAAGAAAATATTTATTTGAAATATTTCAGTATTTACTGATAAATAAAAAAAAAAAAAAATGGTATGGAAATATTTAATATCATACTTATTCCGCAATAAAAAATTTTTAGTTGCTATAATCAATTAAATGTATATAATAATTCTTCTTCGATACTCAACTGCATTTCCGATAGCAAATATAAATATTATCGAGCGTTGATCTTCCATAAATAATCATTTAAAAATTGTCAAAACCTGAAGTTATTTGTTAAGTTTTTATTAGGAAATAGTCAAGTGAAGCTCAACAACTAAATGTGTCGAGCACGCAGATGTTTAATTTTCATGCGAGGCAATAGGTCAACGTCATGTCATTTGAATAATGCTCGCATGTGGCGCGGCAGTTGCCGGTGTTGCGCGGCGTTGCGCGGCTAGCCGCAAACTTCTTTGGTGGGTTTACACCTGCCACAGTGAGGCAAAGGCAGAGGCAGAGGCAGAGGCAAGTGGGTTGGCACATTTTATAAATTTTGCGGGTCAAACCGATTGAGCGCATGTGGAGCCAAGCGCTGTGAGGCCAACTGGCCAGCTGTCTCGATACCCTGTAATCAAATGGCCATGGGTTGACTCAGTGCCATTTATTTTTGCCAATTGTTTCTTTACTGGAGTGCGGGGTATGTGCCAGTCGATCAGCAGCCATTGCTGTCGGCTTTGCAACACATGTTGCTGTCGCAGCCGTTGTACATGTTGTCGTCTTGCCGCATGCGGCGTCTCTTGTCGCTGATTAGCATCGCCATCGGCATCGCCATCGCCGCTCGTGTCAGCGCGATAAGCTCCAAAGTCTCATGTCTCGGGCTTTAGCTTGCATCGATGTAGATGCCGATGCCGATGCCGATGTCGATTTGGATGCCACATTTCATTGCCGAACATGCTGTTTATCACGCGGCTTCTAGCGTGTGCAACCAAATAAGTTAGCAAGGTGTGTTTACTTGGCCCAACCTCTTGACAGGCAATGCATCTAGGCGGAGATGCAAGCAACAGGCTCAGAGCGAGTTTGTTCTAGATTTTGCAGCTTGCAATTTGCACATATGTTTTTTGATTTATTATTTATTCTTATAATTATCATTGAATCCGGTTACAACGACTCCACTTATAGCGTCTGTATGGTTATAGCGATGAAATCAATATTGAATGTTATGTGGAGGAATATTTTTATCATATACATATATAATATGAACTTTAGTAGAAGATTTGGCATACAATTTTTTCTGAAGATTCGAATAGTGTATATAATAGTCCGCCCATCGAAAATCTGATTTCAGAGCTTGTTCTTCAGAACATTTGAATTCAAAAATTAATTGCAATGAATTCTTTAATATTTGTAGAAATAATTACAAACAATACTATATTATCTAATATTACATATAATCAATATGTAGTATGCCTCTAGCCGGCAACAAAAATGCACCTTGTGCAATTTAGTACCGGATCTTATGTAGTATGGATCTTATTAGGAAAGTAGAAACTTGAGACGACTCTAAGAAATTTGTCTCAGCCTTCTTTTTATAGGACATTGCCTACTGCTCTGCCATAGACTCTGATTTTGAGTACAAGTTTGACTAAGGTGTTGCTTTCTTTTTAATTATAATCTTAATTAAATCCTCGTTTAAATATTTTCAAGTATTTTATTTGTTTTATATACTTAACCAATACATTTATATATATTTTTTTTATATTTATCTGTTTCTATATTTATTTTATTTGTATTTCTATATATTTTCTTAAGTTCGACACGAAACTCTTATACCTAGTTTAGCGCCGATATCAGGATGCGGAAGTGCTGTACACTCGATGGGCCTAGCTTCTATAAGAAAACATATTCGGCTTCTAAGACTTTTACCGATGTCGACTAATTGGGTGCCCCATCGATCTTGTTCCTCCTATGTCCAAGCATTAACGTAAATGCATTCAGGCATACATTTATGTATATATCAATTTCAATGGGGCAGAGGAAAGAGAGAGAGAGAGGGAGGGAGCTTCCTGCTGAGCTGCTCGCATGCTGTGTGCCGGCACTCACGGCGCTGGCTCCTCCGCGTCTTTGGATGCAATCGCCTCTCGCCATGGCCGTGGATCTCATTAGCTGCTGCATTCGATGACGCCAAACAAGCCACTTAATTTAAATTTAAATGTTTACTTCTCGCTTTGCGTGTGGGGCAATGTATTCGGTTTTAGCCCCGACCGCCTACTTGCCCCACATGCACAACAGAGTTTTTAGTGAACATTGAGCGTTCCCTGCTCTCGCTGTCACGACATGCCAAGATTTATTTTCGGTATTCCACGAGCAACCCAAATGCGCTGTCAGCACAGCAGTTGCTGCCATACGTCGTCCCATCGCTCGGTCCTCTCGTGCAGCGACAGCTACATTAGCGTCTGATGGTGGTCTTGCACCCCCTACCCTCGCCTCTCCTCTCTCCTCCCTCCCTCTCACTCTCACTCACTCTGTCTCTCACTCAATGCACTTGACACCCGAAATTGATGCGATTCGCGCCCAACCCACATTAATTAGGCAATATATTGACATGTGGACATGTGTGTGGTGTGGCTATTGATTTATGCTCTGGCCGGGAGTTTGGTTTTAATCAATTCAGTATCTGTTTGGCTGCATCTAGTATTATTTTTGTTGTGATGCACTTAAATACAAATATTTCATAATTGCATGGTGTACTGTACGTTGACGGAGAATTTTCTATGACCTTCCTCTCATTTATCTCTCATATTTGTCTCACTCTGTGCTTTTCATCGCACTCGACGACACTTCATCGTGCAGCCCCTGTTGAAAATGCGAAGTAACAAATGAAGTACAGCCCCGAAACGTTGACGGTTGGGTTTACCTGTAAATTCATGGTTTTAGAGAATAGAAAGAGGTAGAGAGGCAATCGCTTAACTAACCATCGCTCCATTCCATCCAGTCGGACTGCTCGCTGAATGCCTTCTCTATGGGTGGGTCTTGTTGGGATTGGGATGAGCCAATGGGAGCACTGGATAGATCATTCTCTGGGCTGTCGGACGTTTGCTCTGCGAAAGAAGAGGATTTTGAGCTCGTAGTCTTCAAGTTTGGCGCATCGCTGTTGGTCTGACGCGCACAACTTTCCGTAGTTTTCCTCAAAAGGAGCCAGGAATTTTGCAGAATGTTACCCTCCAGTATGAGCTTCTCATATCCTCTGAGTAGCTTGCGGACATCCACGCCCACCAGCTCGTCGGGCAACGTCTGGTCGCTGAACTGTCTCGATGTTTGGCGCAGATCCTCGAAGCGTTTAATCAGCTCCTTGATCTTACCACCACAGTCCTGGGTCTCGGCCTTCGGTGCTACCGGAAATGAGATGGTCGATGCCGTTTTCGGCTGTGGCGTTGCCGGATCATTGTTGATAGTGCGCAGAATCTGTGCGGTCTCATCCATAAAGGACCTCTGCCGCTTCCGAAGGTCCAGCAGACGCTGCTTCAGCTCGTCCAGATAGGCTAGCTGCTGCGAGGTTGGCTGCTTGCTGGCCATCCTGCCAGTTGCATTTATTTTACACCGGTATTTTAGATAAACATTTATGGAGGTGTGCTATAGGCACTGTTTGTGTAAGCAAATTGTGATGCGATTGGCATATAGAAACAAATTTGCTTGATGCTAAGCACTCGGCTAACTAGATCGCAGATTGATTTCATTCAAATGCGAGCATTCTAATTTATTTTATAATAACATAGCAATAAATTGGTGGAGGGAACGTTCTTTGTGTAGATCAGCTATACCTCATGTGTTAGCATGATTTAGCAAGATTTTAAAATATTCTAAAGAAATGATAAATTATATTTATGCCAGGTCGAAGCTGCTGCTGATCGAAGTACCAAGATGTCGGAGGACGTGCAGGTCCAGCATATAATGTCTGAGCTTCATGCTTAAAATGACCCTTTAAAGTGTAATTATATTTGCTTCAGATAGTATTAGAATGAATGGGGCTTAGATGTTTTACAATAGCTTCCATACTTTGAAATGCGAATGAGCAGAAAAGATGATCAAAATAGTCTTCAAAATATCTATACGTATTCTGATTGATGTCAAAGGCTTAGCAGCTTACAGACTATTCTGGTCAGAGGCTCAACAGATTGTAGATTAACCCGCTCCTCTAATGAACACCAGAGAGCTTAACAAGGGCTTCAAATTATATATAAGAATTAGACTTAGATCTTTAATACAACAGAGCTTCCATATCTAATCCTCCAGGGCAAATAAAAGAGGATTTTTTGAGCTTAAAAAATGTGTATTGTAGTCGCACAAATATACTGATACTGATAAGATATGATATGATATGGTATCTCCTGCAATTCATAGTATATTTCATTTATTCATGGCTACCATTCGGACAGCTCTACCGACATCTGAGCCATAGCTGCTACAGTTATTAAATATAATTTATCTGCCCACCATCGACAGAGCATCCAGCGATCGCCTTGGACAGCGCGCGCTGTTATCCCTGTTGGCTTTATGAGTTCCCAAATTGAGATATCGCATGCAGCGCGAATTGTCGAGTAAGTTGTAGCCCACTGACTGCCATGGATAGCGCGAACAATGGCGATTTTAGTCGGCGCTTTGCAGATACACCTATATATCTTTCGCTAAGCCGTGGATGCCGCCTGTCTCTGGGCAGTGGGTCGAGGGGAGCTAAGGAATTTCACAAAGCCGTCGCCAAGAAAACGTGCCGCTGCCTACCACACGGCACTTGGCCTGGCCAGGCCCAAAAGTTCCCTCCGAGTGCCGTCGAGTGCTGCTGCGGCTGCTGCTGCTGTTGATTTCACCTGGGGGTAGTGCCCGCCCTCACCTGGGCTGCGGATCGCTCTGCTGGGTCGTTGTGCAATTGTTGTTTCATATTTTAATGCCTTTTTGCAGTTGGTAGGCGTGCCACGACACGATTCTTTTAGCCGATAAGCTGTTATTTTTATGTGCCGCCAGATCGGTGTTGCTCTCGCAGAAGTGTGGGCCGGCTTACAGCTTTAAGAAGTTCAAATTATTACAGGGCAATTGTCTTGATCGTTGATTTATGTGCGCTTTTGTTGTCCAACCAGGCTCGACGGGGCAAATTTGCGCCGTTGCTGCTGCTGGTGCTGAAATTTATTAGCGCGGCCATAACGTGCCAGCAATGCCATGCAATATGGTCAGTTGATTACGGTGCTCGGTAGCCACCGTTTTGCAGCACTACCCCCACTAGGCCCACTTAGTCGCTTGCTTATTAAGTCAAAATTTTATTTCATATTATTGTTTGTGTGTGTGAGTGTGTGTGTGTGTGTGGCCCACTCATAATTGCAAACCCCCTACAGACCGCTTGGCTGACAGCAATTCTAATGTCGTAACACCGCCTCCAAAGCCCTTCAGTCAGCCCCTTGCACGACTGCGCAATGCTTTGGCCCAAAGTTTCAAGCCTTCAATTCGCCCCGAACTTAATGATTTCATCTTTCATTGAATTCAAATTTGCTGGCCGTGGGGCAACGTGCAGCACAGCCAAGCAATGACTACATCGTGGGCGTGCCTTCATCATACGCCCCTTAGTTGCAGTCGACTGTGTTCCTCTGGCTCTGGCTCTGACTCTGGCCATGGCTATGGCTATTGCTCTTGCCGTTGTTGTGGACTGTTGAAAGCCGCTGCTGTCGGCCAATATAACGAATTTATTATTTATTTCACCTGACAGCCCGAGCAACAGACTCTATAAATTTCCCTAGCTCGACTCGACTCTCGCCTGGACTCGTATTTATGGCCTATCGCCGGACTGGGCTGGCTGGACTGGCTCGCTTTGGGATGCTCGTATGAAGAAATATTATTGATAAGGTAGGTAAGGCTATTTGGGTCCCTGCTCAGTGCTGATTGAAATGCCGTTGCCTCCAACAGCTTTATTTAACCGGGCTGCCGCCAGCTGCGGTCGAGGCCAGAAATCAGCTGAGGCGGCATCAAACTTTATGGCCAAACAAAAACAACTTTAACCCAATATCCTGCTCGTAGTCATAATTTGAAAAGCAAAGCAGAATAATATATATATATAAATATGCATGTATATTCAGTCGACCGCCTGGGTGCACAAGTCCAAGACCTAATCGGAGTCTGTTCGCTCTCATCCACACAAACACACACACACACACACACACACACACAGACACACACAGCTTTGGCTGGCCCGTATTTCATTATGAATTGCTCTTAACGATGTTTCATTTTTCATGTGCGCATTCATAAACCCTTTTTCCCATTTTTCCCATTTCGCGCTGCTGTAGAGACTGCAGACTCCGAGCAGATTGTTTGCATGGCGAGAAGATTTCCAGCTGCTGCTGCTGCTGCTGCTGCTGCTTCTCTTCAGGCTCCCTGGAATCTCGTTCGGTGAATAATTGCAACACGTTGTTGTAAGCAGAGCCCGCGGCACCATCGACTCGCTTCAATTATGCAGCATTCAGTTCGTGTTGTTAGCTAACTGAGTTATCTCCCTCTCCCTCTCGGTTATTTATTGTGGCTATTCTCCCCCACTCTGAAGCAATTCATATTTCAAGCATTACTAAAATAACAAAATCTGTTATTCTATAGAATTTCAATTAAATGAGAATTTTAAGACTGTTAGAATATGCTGATGTATGGCATCAGCGTTTGCGTAATGCACTTAAAGCCTAAATAATAAAATTTTGTCTCATTATGCCTAGGTAAAATATTTTAGGTAAATATTAAAAAGTCAACCCGTTAAGAAACTGATGAAATTTCGTAACTAAGTTATTTTTCATACTTAATATTACGTTGTTTTTAGCAGATTATATTAAAAACTTTTTAGTATTTTAAACAGCATACAGCAAAGACTAGAGTTCCGAAACCATACTCAAAACTAATATACCCTATACAATCTGTGTAGAATATTAGTATAGACCAAAAGATTATTATATATTATTTGTCTTCTTATTATAGGATCATTTCAAAGGACTTCGAAGGTAACAAAAAAATGTTGTAAGCCCGTTTTACCTATTTTCGGAAATAAAACCTTCTTTGAATATGTATGTAACAGTCTGAAGATGACTCTTTTAAATATATATGTATATATATATATATATATATATACCTGATCTGGACGACAATCTGAGTTGATCTATCTCTGTACCTTTTCCGTCCGTCTATATATGTACGTATAAGCCCGGCGATATCTTAAGCCAATAGAGCTAGAGATTTGCAATTTTGGAATCTATACTCCTGCATGCCATATGCGGTCGGGTAGTCCCAGCTAGAATAGTACTACTGGTTTTTGAAATATCTCGAGAGCCTCAGATTTACTAATATGTAAAAAGTTTTGTATGAAACCTGTAACTGATGTACAATAAACCATTACCACTATAACAAGTTTAATAAAAACTTATGTGAATTAAATTTATATTTATTAATTTCTCATCCTACACCATTTTATACTTTGTCAAATTAAACTTTCAAAAGCTTTTCTGCTCAGATTTTAGCTAGGCACCAGGAAGCGTTCATCAAAAATATTATTATTCAGAAAATTTATGCTTACAAAACTTCATCATAATTTTCTCAGCTTAATTAGCTTTTTTATGCAATCATGAAATATATTTGAAATTGGCAAATTCTAGCTTAAGTAATTTGTCTAACGTGAAGCTTCGTTTCGGAGCACAAAAAAAGCAATTGGAGTCTTCAATTTCATTGCTCAGTTGAGTTAGAGAGGGAGAGTCAAATGGAGAGAGAGAGAGAGAGAGGGAGGGAGAATGAGTGAGGCAGGGCAAGGGTACTTCGTTCAGTTTCAGTTCAGTTCAGTTCCGTTCAGCTCAGCTTGCGCTGCGGCTGTCAAAGGCGCAGCGGGCAGTAAAATCGCGGTAAACACAATTGAAAAACGGGCAGCCCGAAGAGAAGGAAGAGCTGTGCCCAGTCGTGAGCGAAAGAGTGCGGCGGCAAACACTCCACACTTGTCAACAGCGGCTCTACTGATTGTCTGCCCCGTGTAGCCAAGAGCCAAGAGCCAAGAGTCCGCAGTCCGCAGTAAATACAGACACAGATTCTCTACACAGACTCCCCTTGCGCCGATCAGGTATCTGGCAAACGGGGTCGAGGCTGTGGCTGTGGCTGTGGCTGTAGCTGCGGCGGCGGCTGTCGGAGGCTGAAACGAGACTCACGCTTATGCTCACAAATCATAAATTGCCGCCTTAAAATTTATCTTCAATTTTCGAGACCCCATGTGGTGCTTAGCGAATGGTGTTTTGAAATTTATTGCTGCATTTGCAATAAATATTGTCAGTTGGGTTCAGCCAGCGAGCGAAAGAGATGCCATAGTGGGCGGCAGAGGGAGAGAGCTGACTTCTTTGGCGGCAACAGCAGCATTTGCTCTGTTGTTTGTGTGTCTGTGTGTGTGTGTGTGATTGCTGCTGTAACGCCTCTCACACCATCTCCTGGCTAGCCAACCTCTCTCTCTCTCTCTCTCTCTCTCTCTCTCTCTCTCTCTCAGTGGTATGCCCTTCTCTTTCGCCGCGCCTGCTGCATTGTTTATGGTTTTCGTGCATATTAATGTGCGCTGATTGGGAGTCGAGGGAGTTGAGCGGGGCGCTTAAGCCGCCAGTCGCGCGGGCAGTTAGCAGCTGCCATTGTCCCAGGTC